AAAATCTCAAAGGGTTTCTCTGAGTTGCCCCACAAGCAACACAGAATCATCATCTTTCACTCCATATTCTCCTCATCTCAATGGAGTCCCTTATTCCTCTGCTCTCCACATCCAGCAAGCACTTGTCCTGAGCAGGCTATGGGTGGTGAAAACTGTTATGGCCACTATTGGGATAGCATACTTGGAGAAGTATTCTGCAGTGATTTTATGTGGTGCTGAGAGCTTTACCAGCAGACCATATTTTTTTCTGAGATGGAATCAGAAGTTATTGGGAACTGCATCCTCTTTTTCTCAAATAATTGAGCATTCCTTTCACCACCCCACATTTCAAGAGCTCTCCAGATTTTCTAATCAGCATTATAAGGATCACCATGTCAGGGGCTTCAGCACTCCTGTGAGACACAAGGAAAACAAGATAGAGCAATAAGGAGAGGGAAAAAAAGTGCTGCTGAAAAGGTTGCTCCTTTACTGAAAGGAGCAGCAAAATTTGTGCTTTTCTTGAGTACAAACAAAGAGTGATTGTGCTAAAGAAGACATTACAAACCACATGGCTGCACGAGAATTAAGAAGAGGGCTCATTTCTCACATTCTACTTAGAATCAGGGTCAGATTGTCAGATCTGGAGAGGTGTCTAAGCCAGTAGGTTATTTCATGCTCTGCTCCCTTAGATTCGTAACCCTTTGAGCTTGGCTTAGCGGTCCTGCAGAGACAAAGGGAGTTTTGAGTAAGTGCAGACTTCATCTATATTTCCTGTGTACTGACCATTTTAATGAAAAGCTTCACCTTGCTAGCATAATGTTCTTTAAATCGACCATCCTTGCAATACTTACATCTTTTGATCCACTGCCTCTCATAAAACTGGCTAACCTTTAAGTTCATTATGTTCTTAAAATGATTGCTCTGCATTCAGAGAGTGAAACTATTCACCAGATTAGCATGTCATATCAGAGCCACGTACCTGCAAATTTTTAGTCTTCCCATTTAAGTAGAATTGACTTGCCAAGGCACAGTGGAAAGAAGATCAATAATTACAGAGTCCAATTTGCCATAGATTGGTTAAACTTCACTTCCTGCCATCATGCCCTCGATAGATATGGTCAAAGATACTTTCTTACAATCTGTTCTAGCTACATTATATATGCCTCAATCTTCCAAACACCGAAAGCAAACCAACTGGAAACACTGCACTTATTGTTATCGGTGAAGACTTCATCCATCTACATAACTGTGCCCTCAAGAGGTTACAAACAGCATAACTTTCACTTCAGTTGTTAGTTCTTTGAAGCAATCCGACAGAAATGTTCGCGTAGTATGTTCTGAGATACTGCAGCAGCAGTTTGCGGGCTATGGACTGCAGATCACTGACAAGTCACTGAAGAAACAGTTGGCTTCAGGGTGTTGCCTACTTTTTGTTGCCTGATGCCAAATTTACTCAGAAGATGCTAAAAATAACATTGCTTTTTCATGTAAGCAATTGCTATAATAGCTACAGAGCTGTCACATGATCCTACATGGGAAAGGAAGTGGTTCAGATAATTGCAAATGGGAGGAAAAGTCTACAACACAATCTTTCTGTCAGGAACAAAAACTCGGTACACATCATCCCAGAGTCATCTTAAAATGTATATATGTGACATACTCAGGATTAGCTGAAACAGCAAAAATAGACTATGTAAAGATCAACCAATATCTAAACAGCTCTCCTGACTCCGCATGCATCCGCAGTTTCTCGCGGGTCCTGGCATTCAGTTTTTATATGAAGAGCAGATTTATGGTATACGTGCTCATGAATAATTCACTCACATCAGTTGCCACATACAACTTAGGGAAATCCCAGCTGTAAAACCTTGGCACCATTTAGCTAGTGCAAGCTACACTACTTTTATACAGGTGTTATTCCACTGACCTACTTGGAGTTATTCCTCCTTTCCACTGCTAGAAGAAGATCAGGCTGTTTGCTTACCTCTGTTCTCTGCCACCTCTTAACAGTAGTAAAAATGTTTCTAGCATTGGAGAAAGGTAGTTTTAGCAACCTTAGTGTTCCAGCTCCCCTCAGCTGCAGGAGACTCTGCATCTCACCTAACCTCGGGTCTCCCATAACAAGCCACTGTCAGTTGGCTTAGTTCCTAATGAAGGCCATGTTTTTAAATCATGTTAAGAAAATTACTGAGATCATAGACTAATGGAACACCATTGAAACTGTAAACTAGCTACCCCCAGCATGTTCTTATGACGGTTTTTAACTTCAAGAGAAATACAGGTTTTTTCAAACACATCCTCTGCCACTGAAAGCAGGAACCACGGCAGTGTGTTGGTGCAGGTGATTCTGATGAAAAAGAAACAGAAAGCGAAACTGCCTAGCCATCTCCTTGCCCAGACAAGGAGAAAGGCACCGAGGATGAATCAATGGCATCACTTAGAGGGCTGCCTGCTTTTTCCCAGGCTTTTTTATTCATAAGGACAATGGGAAGGGTTCCTTTTTCCCCCAAGAAAAATATTTGTGAGGGTTTTTGGTTAGATCTTCATCTGGAGGCCAACTAAAATGGCAATCACCATAGTGCCACTGAGCCACATTCAAAACACACACAGTGGGCAGCATAAGCAAACTTAAAACCATAGTATAGGGAACTAAGACCTGACACTCCTAGATAGTAAATAATCTGAACAGCTCATGGCTATCTTGACATAAAGCAACCTAGTAATTATAGTGCCTAAGTTAGACATCTGAATAACTGTAGTCATGTCATTTAAACAATGAAGCTATATTGATTTACAGCAGCTAAGGATCTTATTAAGGATGTAAGTAGCTGATCTTTACCTTAATACATCCCTTCAGTTCATCCAAATTATTGGCTTGCACCACCTGGCCTCTCCTTAATGCCTCCCCCCCCCCCCAGTTGGCTTTTAAGCAGGTTGAAAAATGATGGTTTCTCACTTTGTTCATTTCTTACGCATTTCCAGCAGTGCTGAGTGAAATGAGAGACAACCATAAAACCCAGCAGAGGGGAAAATTAGACATGCTATGTAAATAATCTCTGAACTGTAAGTAAAGTCTGCAATTTTAGTTTCATATCACAAGTTCACATGTCTTTCAAATTGTCACCTACAGCAGATAAGCCCTAAATGCTTACGTCCCTTCCTTGAGCAAAGGGATACAGTGTGCTCACTTGGGGCTAGCTCCAGGGGCTGCCAGGCATGGCCCAAAGTAGCCTCTCTCCTCCTCACACGCGATTCACCATCCTACCTCCAGCCCACGACAACATCACGAGGGGGGCGCATTTCCCCACACTTCCCACGTCCCCTGCCCAGCCATCCCCCGCTCAGGCCATCGTATTGCACTGGTGTGGCTGCAAGCATAGGCGCAGCCAGACCGACTCTACTGACAGACAGGGGAGCACAGCCGTGAAAACGGGACTGAACGCAAATTCAAACCAGATGAGCAGAGCTAGCATTCGGAAATAGACAGGGGTGGTCAAAGCCAAGCAGAGTCTGAGATGGCTCTGAGTGAAAATAGCCAGACCGAGCGGGCTTGCAGAGTATCCTCTCCACCTTCTGGCTGCCCCGGTGGAATTTCAAAATGCAGCAGGCTTCAAGAAGTAGCAATTTCCAGCAAAGTTGACTCTCGAGCAGCTGTCCTATTTTCAAATTGCCAGCCAAATTAAACACAGGAATACCTGCTGGTCACAAAGCTGAGGGAAGGGTGAAGTGACAGAGTCAGTTCGCTCTGAAGTGGAGCAACTGCTCAAAAATTGTAGCCAGGGTTTCTGCAGAGCAGAACTGCTCCCCTCACCACCAGGAGGGAGCTGCGCTGGCTTCACCGAGGCTGAAGGCTTGGCACGGCCTCGGTTGGGAGCCCTGAGTCAGACTATAGCCAAGTTTGTCTTGTGCTTTCTTATGCCTGCACACTAAGAATGTGTTCATATTTGCCTGTCTGGGTGAGTTTCTATTTGGATGGGAGAGAGTTAGGAGTCCTCCTGCCGAAGTTTGCTGCTAAGTGGTCTGCCTGGAGAAGCACAGCTGGTATGGGCACTGCTGAGCATCAGCAGTGAAAGCCTGGAGAAACATGCTCCCTTTACAGAGGTGAGCACACACAGAACAGCGTACGCAGTGTAGTGTTTGCACAGGATGAAAGAGCTACTGATCTGCATGTCGCCAGTGACAAGACAGTGATGATTTGCTGGAAAAATGGCCCTATAAAAACCACGACTCGAGGATCCTGTTTTATTGTCTCATAACCTTTAAATACTCCGTGGTTCAGGCCACACAATTTATAAGGCAAAAAAAAGGCAGGGAGGGGAATAATGCTCCCACGCACACTGTCTAGACCATAGACCCAGCAGATTCAATGTACCATCAGATAGCCTGGATTAGACAGCCTGACTGTGCTCCTCCTGCAATCGTGGCCCACCGCTACCCGGGGTGAACTTTCCCCACTTGAAACCTGGGCTGCAGCCTCATTGCCAGATCCACACACCTGCAGAGAGCAGAGGTGGAGGCAGCTGTGTGGGTGGTGGAAGTGGGAAGGAGAAAGAGAAAGGCTAGGGGTTGTTCACACAGGAACACAGTCTGTCCTCTGCAACGCTCACAGGGCCCCTACAGCTCCCACACTTCGCCAGGTAAATGCACCTCAGCTGAGCTCTGTCAAAATCTACAGCCTGAAAAAGCACCATGAAGACACCAGCCGCAGAAGTCACTCTTTGCCACAAACAGCTATGCTCAGCAATCTAAATTTGGCATGCAACTCTCAAAGATTATACAGGGATTTAAGTGCAAGAGAGTGACCACAGCTCACCACGAGTCTTTGCCCAATGCTCAAATGGACAGCCAAATCAATGGTCTAGGGAGCCAAGGTCTTGTCTCCCTTGCTAGCAGAAAGTTTGAATGACTCCTTCCTCTCCCCAAACTGCCAGAGGAGTCTCCACACCTGTAAACCTACAGCCTGAACATGCCACCATGTCCCCCCCCCACCAAAGCACAAGCATAGGGCACGTGGCACTTACCCCCCAGGAACTGGATGCCTCCTGCCACCCTGCCCACGGTCCTGGAGATAAGCTCGGACACACAGCAGCCCATGAGCGCCGTCAGGGCCACCAAGAGGAGCAGACCGCAGCCCAGCCCCGTCACCACCGTGCAAATCCTCCACTCAGTGCTTGGGATGGCCTGGAAGGAGGCGTAGCGGCCACATTGCTCCACCATCACGGTCGTCTGGAGGCTCTCATCCCGCACTGGATACGAACACCTCCGGAAAGTGCCAAAGGAAACTGACTTCTCCAGCTGAGACCCCAAGAGCCAGTAGGGCATGAAGAACCCCACACAGGAGGCAGCGGCGCAGAGGAAGGAGAGGAAGGCCCAGATCACACCAGCACAGGTGAGGCTGGATGCCATCTTGCTATCTGCGCTCAAGACCACTCACGATGGGGAGAGAGGGAGGCACCTGCCTGATTTAGAGGAGGTTTATGGATAATCCAGAGTCTCTCAGCCTTGATAAATCCTTGCTCCAGGAGAAGCTTGAATCCTAACAGCCATAAAGATGTTTTCTCCCATCATGAAGACAAAGGTCCCTGATTAAATAACAAATAAAGGAGAAAAAGTTCAGTAATACTGACATAATAAAAAAATGTGTATCTGCCATAGTGTTTCTTCTTCCTACGGCACTTTTCATTAAGACATCACACTTCTCTGTCCCATTACTGCAAGCAATCACTAGAGTTACTGCCAGTGAAACAAATTACTGGCAGTGGTGGTGGGAGGGAGCTTTGTATGCAGTCGGCTGTGTTCACTGAGGAACACTCTGCGGCCACCTTCAGGGTTTCCCTGTGCACTTGCCTAGTCACTTTTCTCCACTGTATGCCTTGATCTGTCCTGTACCAACAGGGAAAGAAGGTAAGGTCTTGTTTATTCTCAGCCAGCTGGGCCTTCATCCTGCAACACCTTGGAAACGTACTTTACATTACATATGGCTCCTCAGCTTCAGTGCAAAACTGTTTGCAGCACCTGAGGCTTTTCAGGATGAGGCCCTTGTGGCAGAGGGATGGCGTTTTCCCCAGCGCTCCTGAATTTGTTGGCATCCCTGCGGGCCTAAAGCAGCCCATTATCGTTTGATGTTCAAACATGCCAAGAACCCACAGCTCCTGACGGGCTTCTGGCAGGTGAAGACATTTTCATGCCTTTCAAATTCATCCCCAAACGACCTCAAGCAGCACATGCTTAAAACGCAGGGGTTTCTCTTACTATTCCTGCTTGCACTCAGCCCACTTCCCTCCACTTCCCTCTCTTTTCTTTGCCTCTTCCCTCGCCAGACACAGGAGCCCCAACTCCTTTGCCTCCTTCCCTGACAGCTCTCAGTCTCATCTCAGTCCCAGAACTATCAAGCACTTTTGACTATTGTAGAGCGCTACTTCCCGGTATATTTCTTGTTAAATCCATGCTGGATCATTAAGTCTAAATCCAACAGCATTTGTAAATTTATGATCATTTCTCACAGTAGTTGCCAAATTAATTGATAGCTATTTATAGGGGCTTTTTCCTAAGCATGATTAGATGACAATCAGTGAATTCAATTCATGTACAGGCGATAAAATTAATACTACATCTGTGCAAGGAAGGAACATAAGTAAAGAGTCTGTAAGTGAAATTAAGCATGTGCACCATACAAAAGTTTTGTTTACTTTTAAAACACTAAGAAAAAGAAGTCTCTTCTATAACATTGAAAAAGGCCTCTGCTGCTTCTCAAGAAGTACATGCCTAACTATTCGCAGTCACAGTCTATCTGTGTCCCTTGGGACGAAAACTTGGAGAGGGGCATAGGGTGCCTCCATCCCTCCAGAGGCATCTTCCGGAGAAGGATCTGCCTGTATCTTGGCGTACCACCAAACGCTTAAGGAAGCAGTAGGTCCCGGCACTTAGGGAAGACCGTTCCCCGAATCAGTAGAGGAGAAACGGCTGGAAAGAGGGGACAACACGGAGGCTCCCAGGGGCAGGTCCCTGCCACCCCCGCAGCCCCAGCGGGGCACAGCCTGGCCTCCCGCAGGTCGCCACCTCGCACCCGGGGACCTCTCTGGGGACCGGGGCTCGCTCCTCCGCCCCCCAAAA